CTTACCTTAGCATGACACACGTTGCACTCGTATGCGTAGCGATGCACAGTTTAAGCGTGTAACGTACTGTTGCGCACCCGCAAAACTTGGAATTTTAGCGCCCCCTAGTTTTACTCGTTCTCGGCACTTGCATTTCTCAGGGTCTCTTATTTAGCTCAGCTATGCATTATGGACATGTAGCAGAGACGCTAATTTTGTATTAAGTTATTCATGCTGTACTCTGGCGTGATCGCGTGTTCCTTCACTCCTTTGTCCTTGTGTTTTCTCTGCTCAGTTTTAGCATGTCGAAATTCCCCTCCATGTGGCTGCGTGATTTGGCGTGGTACGGTTCCCTGAAATGCTAATATTCAGAAACCTCAGACTTTGTAACTGTCAATCATTCGCCACAGATTACACGCACCCGGCTCTACACTTTGTACACGTGACTTCTTATTCTGTATTTTACCTTTTTACATACGACACTTAGATTCTTGCACAAGACTCTAGCTGGAAGTCATGTGACTCTTTGAAATGGAAGATTTTCATTGGTTGAGCTGTTCAGCGACGCTCATATTTTATTAATTCCTAAGCCTCTAGAATCCTATAAATAGAGCAGATTTTCCTAAAGCTCGTCGGTCAGGTGCGGCGGACCAAACCCTTGTTGCGAGAACGGAACCTAACATAGTGCGGCGGTTGGACCCTTTCCGAGAGAAGTGCGATAGTTAACCATTCTTATGGCGAAGAAATGTAACCATATGAATGACCAGCTAGCTTAGCTTGGACCGATGCGAGAGCGGTACGAATCAGCCCAGGGTGCTAGTGAGAGTCGTAGCGGCCCGTCACTGCTACGTCCGAACCGATTGCCGGGCGAGACATTCCCGTGTCCCTCGCCATCCTTGTCCTGCTAACTCGCCCTGTCCTCCCCGTCTCTACGCTGAGCCAATGATACACAGTGCGGCGATCTTATCATTGCGCTCAACACATTGCGGTCTGAGCGGCAATGCGGTCGGTACATATCGGCGCTGGCCCCGTCCAGCCCTTGCTAGTCACCGTTGTGGTCCGGGACAGCTCCCACCACGGCCCGGCCTGACGAGTGTGGCCTAGCTGTGCGATGCAACACACACTACCGTAACCCACTCCGTCTGACTTGCATTTCCGATGGTCCTGCCAAACAGTAGTTTAGTTACACTCGTATACAACTTCGCCTCTCTATAACTTTGCCTTTTGTGTGTTGTATTATGTTAAGCTACACCTTCTTCAAATCCCACATTGAACTTTGATGAAGAGAAGTGAGAGCAATAAACCAACCATACAGTTTGACTGTCACCCAAACCCCTTGTTTCACGTCCACCCTTTAATAAATTGTTGACCCCAAATATCACATCCCGTAGACACTAATAAAGTCCATGCTACCATCGACTTGATATTTAGGGAATGCAATAATAGATTCAGGGAACAACACCAAATGAATTCATTTTGGATGTTAGTCAAAAGAAAAAAAAATACTTTATTTGCATTAAGGCTAATTCTGTCTGTTATAAAAGGCTGAGCTGTCACTGTTAGCATGTGGAGCAAATTGAAAACCAACTTGATCGGTGGACGAAACAGTGATTATTGCGCTGTTATTTTCATCAGGAAGGCAATCTTGGCAGCTCACAGTCTCACTTTTGTTGCTGCAGCGAGATCGAATGGATCTGGGTCAAATCCAAAGGCCACAGGAGTACGGAGTTACTATTAGGTCAACATACTTCGCCAAAGCTGATTTCTTTTGAATTGTGTCTCACTTTAGTCACACCTGTTCCACCTTAAAAAGGCACACGTACGTTTCTTATGCACGTAGTGTCTTGGTATAACAATATGCAAGACCAACCCCCTCGTCAGTTGGTATTTTTTTTCCCTGTGGGTTTGTTTTGTTTGGGTATTCAGAACGGAACGTGCCGTTTGGTGCAGACAGAACAGTCCAGTTCAAAGGTCGTAAGAACAGAATGCTTTAAAGTAAAGGGGAACTGTTCCCCGGAACGTTTTATGTCAGTGTGTCGTCACACATTCTTCACGCTTTTTGAATACACCAGGCTAGGTTTAATTGCCTATTCATTTGTTAGTTAGATTGCGTAATAATGTCTTTTTATTTCGGCCACGTTGCTGTGTTCGGCGTAGTTGGTCCCAGTGACACCGTCGACAGCGCCCATCTAGTACGATTCATTTCTGAATTATGTTCTTCAAAATGTGAGTTCTGGAGTTAATAAATTATTTATACCCGAGTACAGTTCTCGTCGATTTTTTTCTTTGGTGATGCTTTCTCATGATCCCAGAACCTTGATGTAAATGACACAACAAATGGTGAAAGATCTGGGTCTCACTCTCCAAGCATGGAAAAGGGCGTTGCCGATGGACAACACTCAAGGACCGGCTACCCTTGCCTTGTTTAGGTAAGTAAAAATTGTAAATAAGTGACGCCAACAATAAATACTGTACGATTTTCCTAGCTGGCAATGACTGCATGAATTCCTTTTTGTATACATTTTTGTATTATGATATGGTATTTTGATGTCACTGGAGGAGATTTGGATGAGAAAATAAAAATGACGACCAAGTATGATTTGTCAACTGTTGAAATAAAATGCACAGGCTCCAAAGAGGAAGATTTAGATTCTTTCGTGGAGAAGTTTAAAGAAATTGCTGTGTCAAGAGATTTTACAGATTCCAAGGGAGTTTTAGGTTTCCAGACACTAATAGATGGTCACGCAAGAGTATTGTTGGAATCTATTCCAACAAGTGAAAAAAATAATATTGAAAAAATTCACTGTATCTTGAAAACCCATTTTGAAGGCGATTCATGGTGTTGGGGGTGTGGAATCAAAACTGCTAGCACAAAAACAGCTTGTACAGAATCTCTTGACGATTATGCACGTGACATAATGCATTTGTGTAAGCAAATTAAAAAGACTGAGTCAGAACAATTATCATTGTTCGTACGTGGCTTAATTCCATCTATTCGGGCATTTGTCTTTTCTAAAGAACCAAAAACATTCCATGATGCACTCAATGCAGCTCGTTTAGCTGTTTCAGCTAGTACAACAAACGGCAAAAGAACCTGGATCAAGCAATTTGCACAATGTCAATTCGAGTCAGACGCTGGAGTCAAAATTATATGTTCTTGTTGGCATTGTTAAAGATTTGACGCTAAGGCAAAAAATCTTCAACTTAGTGCAAGTTGCAGAAATACTAGAGTTGAAAATGCCAATCAGCCTAAACCTGAAAATCTGAACAGACGTACTCGTTATTATGGCAGTGAGACTCAGGTATTCCATTTTTATCGTTGTGGTCAACTTGGTCACAAATGGAGGAACTGTTAAGCCAAAAATGACGTCAATGGTCAACAGTTAGTCTATCTCCCCTATCTTTTTGGAAAAGACAAAAGAATTGTTCAGACACTCAAGGATGGGACATGTAAAGATGAAGACAAGTCTGAACACGTCACTGAATATTTGCCTTTTGAGACTGCTTCAACTACCACTGATAATGATTCACATGGAATTCAATCTCAGACGTCATTGAGTCAATCCAATAGGATAACTGCAAAGTTAGATAAGAGGATTCAGTGTCTGGTTGATACCAATGCAGACGTAAATTTCATAGATCATGGTTGGATTAGTTTGATACTTTAAATGCAGATAATGGTACTGTTGAGATTTGTAGAGTGATACTGTACAAAGTGAATGAATTTTCTCCCAGTTAACCAAACTAACGTTGCAAAAACGTTGAGGTAACGTTTTGATGTTGTTGTGGCAATGTTGAGGTGTAATGTGGCAACGTAATTGTGTGGACCCCCCTTGATGATGTGACAACGTCTGTTCTACCGTTTAATTAAAACAAACATTCCAACAACGTTTCTCTGACGTTTAAATTGTTCCACGAAGTAAACCGATGTTCAAACAACATTCCAAAATGTTGTTGACTAGACGGTCCGAAAACGTTGCAACATTCCCACAACATCCCAATATGTTGATAACTAACGTTCCTGTGGTGTTTAAACCTCTTCGATGAACTCACTGTTTGACAAAAGGATCAAAACCAGTCAAAGCATAGGAATTCAACTTGGATTTTTATTTCTTAAAATTGAAACTGAAAATAACTCATAGCAAAAATATAACAAACAAGAAGTCAACACATCAGGACAAATTTGTAAAAAACACTGACCAGTGCAAAAAGCCAAACTCACATATGGAGATGCAGTGAGTTCAAACGGGTATATACTGTGTTATTGCTGTCACTTAACAGTTACCTCACATGAACTTATTCCCTGAGACGATCCAACTGAAATGAGACAGGTGAGACATTATTTTCGTCCATTCTCCTTAGCCGGTCTTAGACGGTAGTTTAAGACCAGCGAAGTACATTTTTTATTCCCATTCATAAATACCTGTTTAGTTACAGAATCAAAAGAAGATGTGGTACATTTTCAACGAATTTGTACCAGAATTTGTTTTTTTTTACTTTTTGGAACATCCCTCCTGTCATTTTATGGTATATTCTTCTCATGATGGAGGTTCAATGAATTTTTTTATATGGGTATTGCCACACACGTGGCACGTACTGCGCATGTAGTGCAGCGCGCTGACCTACACGTAGTCAGAATCGACGTCCATGTCCATTTCTACTTGGTCTCCCACTGCTCTAGTTACTGGAGGTTCCTGTAAATAACAGGGTTTCCAGTTAACAAGAATAGTATGAAATTAGAAATTGGAAATGGCAACATGAAAAGGTAAAGATCAAGGTGCAAGGTACAAAGATGTTTTGGGCACTGTGTGTAGAAAACTGAACCACGAATACACAGCACTGGTATTAAATATTCTAAACTGGTAATGGTAATCAGACCAACTGCTGCATTTCATAGATATGGGTAGAGGCAGTGGCTGATGTCCCGTCTGAGCTGATTCAGGTTGAGAGTTGTACTGCCCAGTCTCATCGCCAAATTGAGAACCAGGTTGAATGATTGGAAATGAATGCTCTGAGACGAAAGGTGATGCAACAGCTTTATTGTCGTAGGAGAATACGAGCCCTTTGGGTAGGATTTGAATACTACTTACGTCATGGTTTCAAATCCCACAAGCTTGCGGTATTTCACTTACCTTGTATTTGTCCCCCCCCCCTTTTTTTCGTGGGGGCAGTATTTAAGTACGTTAGTTAAGGTCTCCTCGATTTTTATTCTCTTGGCTGCGGGATGGCTTTTCTGACAGGCTCCTGTAAAAATCAACAGGGACAGATGTAACAGACTTTTCCAAGAACGCAGGCCCATGGTTGGCAATTTAAATACACAATTACCTTTCCACACAACTGAACTGCGCCAGATTTTTCTCTCACCAGGGCATTTCCATTATCAATCATATCATTGTTACAAAAGATAGCAGAAAAGTAATATTGGGCTTAAAGTGCCAAGGTCATTAGGTTTTTATCTAATGCACTTCACCTCTATGTACTGAACAGTGATTATCATTCGAAAAAATACAAATGATGCAATTTATGCATCAGGAACACCCTCTGAAATGTTGAATGCATTGAGGAGGGTGGCAAAGTGATTTATCAGTGTTCAAAATTGTTTCAACATGTAAGTGACCTCTGAAAATTACATTAATTGGGCAAATGTTGGTCTACAGACCAATTTCACATCCAGAAAAGTTACATACTTCCGTTTACAAAGGATGTGATTTCCAGAATTAATTCTGACTTCACACTTACTGATCACAATGTTGCAGATGGGCTGATGAATCAACGCCTTTTTCTTTCTTCTCCCCTTAAGACTGTACTTTGACCAAAGACAGTTTGTCCCAAGCCTTCGCAAAAACCCTACCTGCCGTTTCACCCAAGTCAAAGCCACCCAGGGTGTTAAGATGGTGAATCTATAACAGAAAAATGACAAATAGGAGCAAATGTTGCTGTGTAGTTTTCTTAAAATCAAAGTATTTATTACCATGTTTGCAGACAAGGAAACTACATGTTTACATTTATCTTAAAGCAAACTTGAATCCTCTATTCTGATTGGTCACTCCATGGCAACAAGCACCACACCCGTCTATATCTCACTGAGCATATTGCACTGCTTTTAGTCCACGGGTACATTGCTCTTACCTGATAAATCTAAAAGTGGCACATTTGTATACAATTGCCAGCCAAGATTATTAAGAGAATGCAATCGGGATGTGAAAATTTCATCCTCGGTAAAGTCACCACTAACAAGTCAAGCTATATAATTCTACTCCCTAACCAATAACTGAATTTGCAAAATTGCCGCACAAGTGGCTGCTTTTTTGTTCTATTTTGAAATCTGAATACTTTTAAAGAGTTCATTTTTAGCTTTCGTTTATCCATAGCCTTACTTCTACGTCAAGGTTGCTTGAAGATCAATATGTTATCACCCTAATGCTTGAGAAATATACCACTCACCCCTCAGCTCTGTGTTATAAGACGCACTACATTATTCCATGTTCCACTCACGCTTGCCTGATTACTAATAATATATCAGGCTATCCACGACAAAATCCGTAAGACCACTGGCAAATTTTAGAGCATTGTTATATTAATTTAAAACTTTCCATTTCAACAACAAAACAGTGGAATACATCCATCCAAAAAGGACCTAAAACGTGCCGTGAAAGGTCTTGCGCAAAGTTGGGTATGGGTCTTACAGCTTTCTATCACATTATCATTTTTGAATTTTGACTGGGACCAATGAGGCAAAATAACAGACCATCTAAAGCATAACTCCAAAACAAAATATTCTTTTCAATTTGTTAGGGTAAGGTGTGAAATGACGCAAATCTACCCACAACTAACCAGCTTTCTCCGGAAATTGGGATCTTCCGAATTATCCAACTCTTGAGAGAGGCTATCAATTTCCTCAACCAAGTCCATGAGTCTTGGCAGAAGATCATCCACATCCTCCTCATCAGGTCCTGAAGCTTTGCTGTTAAGGGTTCTCAGCAGGCTGAGTTGTACTTTTTGATTTTTAAGTATTGTGTCAACTTTCCTATATATGCTCTGGGAATCTGCAATATAATTTTCAACAAGTTTGTTAATTTGACACATTCGTTTTTCATTGAATTGAAATTCCTCCTTTTGACAGATAATATATACATATACACAAGTGATCATATCAGTTAACAATGTCTCAGGAAAGTTCCATTTAAAGCTCGTGGCAAACGTCTCTTTGAAAAATGGGCTCTGTGCAAAAAGAGCATGTCAGATATTTAGAGAACAGGTGTCAAATGACTGCAGAAAAAAACCTAAATGTTGGAAGCATTTTTTACAAATGCACTTGTGACAGTATCAGGAAACTCAACTCCACTCACCTCTTTGTTTTAGGGTTCCAACTACCTTGTAAACAAGGACAAGGTACAACTGTTGTGATTTTGGCACAAAAAATAGGGTTCCAACTCCATTGTAAACAAGGACGAGGTACAACTGTTGTGATTTTGGCACAAAAATGGTTACACTGTTTGAGCCACGTTTTTTCTTTATTATTAACCCTTACTCAAACTTTGTTGGCAAATTTATTCTATTTTAAAAAAATTGTGCATGCCTAATACTTGATCAAGAGGAAGTTGTTTACACTGTATAGTTAACTGAAACACAATTTTTTTTCAAAATTTAAAACCGGTGTTGATATGGTTTTAAGTAATTAATCACAAATTTCAGTGATACATACTGTAAATCTTCATTCTTACTATATAAAGAGATCCCTCACATGTGAATAAAAAAACTCTGCTTCTTTCAAACTATTTGAACTAATTATCACTCACCATCACTAGCCATTCCCAACACACCACCTAGTTGCCGGGTCCTACACTCTCTGGAAGGTGTTGAGGATGGTCCACCTTGTTGCT